ATTTGAGCATCATGCAAGTATCAAATTTAAGCCCAATTTGTTACTCCGCAGTAATGAACGTGGAGATGCCTTACTGTGCAGTAACAGTGCATGTGTGGACTGACTAGTCCCAAGTCAGTCCACACATAGCATTAATATGCTTTAATGCCTGTCTTGTAGATGCTAGCCTATTCCTACTTACATTTTAGTAACGTAAATTTAAGCCAGTGTAAATGTACGTGTAAACATGCCCACTGCCTATGAAAAGAATCTCTATTAGTTTAGACACAAACTAAATCAGCCCTCAGATCAAGCCATTTTTGAACTCTGGGAATGCCTGGATCAAGATCAGAAGTTTGCTGGTGGCCCTAACAGTTTTAACAGTCAGAATCAAAACTCTGATTCCAAAGTGTTCTTCGCTTTGGAGGAGTTCTGAACCTCCCCTAAAATCTGTGATTTTGGCACTTACCTGATTTTTAAGATTGTTGTCATAGGGTAGATTTATTACAAACACTCAGTGGGCACATCTACACCTTCATTAATGTACCTTTGATACCACTCATTTAGTTTACTACTTCCTTAATAAAGGGCTAACTAAATGTGCAGTACTTAAAGTTACTGCACATTAGTAAGTGAATGGTTATTTAGTGACACTTACTTCACATTAGCCTAATAACACTGCACAGTAGTCTATTAGCATGGTTTTTGCTGTGACACGCTACTGCACAGTGTTATTAGGCCAGTGCACAGTCAGCATCTCGTGTAAACGTGCTCAGTGTTAACTTGATTCTATTGGAATCAGTGATAGAGCTCCCCATTACAGCAAAAGGAAAGAGAGCGATGCTATACACTTTTGAAAATCTCATCCCTAAGTACCAACAAATGTTCAAACATCCATAGATGCAAGTCAAAAACAATTCAGACAACCGTTCTACCCTTTGACAATGGTTTAGAAACTTCAAGAGATCAGACTTCCTTGTGAGACTTCTGAGACTTCCTGTTACTGATCAAGTTAGCAAGGGAACATAAGCTCAGAAGGCCATATTTGCCACATGTGAAGATGGGAAAGGGATTTTCAACAGCCTTAAGTGACTTTGGTAGCCTTTGGTAGTCTGGTCTGGCCTATGGGGGGAACTCAGAGTAGATACTTGGGGGAGTTCTTACATTGAGAAAGACAGAATTAAAGACCCTACTGATGACCAAAAGTTCTAGAGGCCTTTTTGAGTGTTGCCTGGGTAAGAACAACTTTGGGACCTACATGGGGAAGACCAAGTTTGGGAGGTCTAAAAGAAAGGAATCTTCTTAAAGGTGATGATTTGAGCGTTTGGTATTCTGCAGTCAGTGAAAGCTCAGTCTGTAGAATAACATTTCCTCCACAGCACTACTGACATTGTAGAAATGGCATGTTCTAGTTCAGGGATCAGATTAGGCTTTTATGATTACAGCAATATAGTCCAAAATGAACGTATCAGAAAACTAGATGAGGGGGAAATAATGAAATAATAAAATGACTTGGAGTCTGCAATGAAGGGGGGAGACCGGTGCTTGGCTTAGGGCTTTGTTTTAAGGAACCCTGTTTGACATGCATATAACTGATGACAAAAATGTACCCTGATCATGATCTGTTTTTATGACTATAATTTATGCTTATTTCTTCAAGGTGGCAGAGGAAGGGCCAGATTGTTCTGGCCTGTGATAGCACAAGGCCAGGGGCTGATCAGCCAAGCACAGCTATTTCATGAGTTTCTCCCTCTGCTGAAATAACAGAATATAATAATCTGTAAAGAGGAACATTTTTAAAGAACTATCCTTTTCCAATTCAAAATCTCTTTTTTGTGTAAATGCTTCCCTGTATTCATTTGCTACCTTTTCCGCATTCTAGAAGTCATGATCCCCAAACAGCAAACTCATATCTGAGAAATCTGAACTTGATAACAATTCCACTGAGTTATGGGCCTTTTCACTTGCTCTGGGTCATATGGTACATGGGTGCAGTGAGGAAATATGTTAGTTACAAAAACATTCATAGATGGTTAATGTTTTTAGGCCTGGAGAATTGCTCAGATGCAAGTGATGGTCTGAAGGCAACGTACATGTGCAGAGCTAGGCAAATGCTATACAAATGTACTGTTTTTAATAAAAAGAAGAGGGGGTGGAGGAATTTATTTCCAAGGTACCTGGAATCCCTGTTGTTCATTTTTTGACACTGTACATCAAAACAGGGAAAGTTGTGTTAGTTGTTGCATAAACACATACTTGCATGTGTATATTTGTGCAATTGCAAATTTGCATGAATTAACTGGATATGTTCTGCATAAGCATTTTGAAAGCACTTTTTGCGTTTGGAAGTTACTCCACTAGTGAGGGAGAAATAAAAACATATCTTATGACTTATGCGATCAGTCACATGACACAAGGAGTACGTTATGCATATTTTGGATGTGCTCATACAAACCTTTCATTAGATGAACCTGAATAATAAAACAATTAGTAAAATTTGAATTTTGCTTCGGGATAATTCAAATACAAAAGGGAGCTAAATTCACTGTATAAATGGGTTGTTATTAATAGTTTACCCAGCTGTAATCAAGTGATTAAAACAAACATAGTCAGTTTAGAAAAGGCTTACACCAATAGGCTTGTAATGATAACAGATCTGATCTTTCTTTACTTTTCGATATCTGCTGGTCCCGTGGTTATAGGAATTAAATTTCTAGCAAACATTTTTCGATTATTTCATACATATAGAGAATTTAGGACTATCTTTGTAGTGGGTCATAACCAAACTTTCTCAAATATGGGAATTCAGACAGCTGGTCACAAAGTTTCACACATTAAATGTGGGCTATTCCTTCTCTAAGACCCTGATAAGCAGGGTTGATATACATTTATGTCCTTTTAAAACTGGACTGGAAACAGCACTAGAACTTGCATTGTAAAGGACTACTCTTATATTGCACACTATCCAAATTATTATTAATTTAATATTTGCTAATATTGGGGCCCCTAGTGGCCATGTTTGAGATCAGGGTGCCATTTTTTCTGGGCAGGATACAAACATTTAGCACTTGTCCCAAAGAGCTAACGATTTTAATACAACACATAATCAAATGGAAAACAAAATTGCACAGAAAGCCAGTAACAGAATGTGGCAGAGAGCACAGGTCTCCTCCATCCCAGCACAGTACTTTGACTTCTGGACTCCACTTTGTCTCTTCCCATATTTTCTTCTCATCTGTACTTTCAATGATTCTGTTGAAGGCTACTCACAGATTTAAAGTTGCTATAGTTGTAAAGAAAGCATTAGATATTAGTCTTGACTGTTAGTTTTGGAAAGAGTAGCTCAAAATATTATGTAAGTAAGTAGTTCAGATGAAAAGATGTCTCAGTCTCCCCATGATAATCATTTTGGCCAGCTGTTTCTTTGCAAGGAAGATAGCAGATTAATCTCAACATGGAACATGGATTTTAGAGCCTGGCTGGGATTTTGCCTGTTTGTTTTTATGTAATGTTGCTTTAGGGAATCATTGCCTTGCTTGTGAGTTATTTGATAGTCTCATTCCTGCCAGACAGTCTTGCAATAATAGGTTGGGGGGGTGTTGGTTTTTTTTTTGTTTGTTTATAGCAGGGCAATCCCACCCTGAGAAAGTTCAGTGTCTTACTACATCTATCAGGATCATGCTTTGCAGTGTTTTTTGATTTCATGTTGAAAGTTCCTTGTTTACCCTAGTGATGAAGTAAAATGTGTCAATTTAAATAAGGTATTGTCCAGAGTCAAGTTATTGATATTCTGAGCTGTAATGAGGAAATAGGGCAATCCTCACATTATATTAATTACTGTACCTGAAGACCCCAAGAACGTTTTCATTGGGAAGAACAGCAAAATCCAAATACTGGTACTTATCAATTTGTACTGATATTCGGTCATTCACATTTAGGTACTCCAGAAAAAGTTGAAAGAACTCCTTGTAAATCCTTTTAGAGACCTCATTTGATGTACACAGCGTGTTTATTGTTTGCCTTCTGGGATCACCATTCACAAACATCTGCAGTTTTATGTCTATTGTGTCGCCTGAGCAGTTGTGTATATTAAAGTTCAAGTGGCAAAAGATCAAGTAAAGGCCCTGTGTCTGGATCACTGGAATTCCCTCGTGGAACTGGATATCTTGACGAACACCATACTCAGTCCATTTCAGCTCTGTATTATTTGGTTTTAATGCTAGAAAGAAAAGCAGCTGCATCATTGAATGAACTACCAGGATCCCACAGTCTGAGAGATATTAATTAAACACTGAACTGAGAACTTGCTGGACTCATTTGCTGGTAAATAGTGGCCATGTATTTTGTGGATCTCCATAGGAAACACCAACAGTGGATCCTCCGTTACCACTCTGAACCAGCCAGCTCTCCACCATACTATGGAGGCAGCTGGGAAACCCACCCAATACAAACTAATGCAGTCAAGATGTTTCCTTGAACATTTGGATTGCAAAAGAATAGCAATACAGATATACATGCACGCAGCTTTTGTGTTCATCAGCATTTAAAGACTGCTATTTCTCAAAACCAAAAAGGATTCATTCTTGGGGGGCAGGGGTGTCGATGAACTCACACACCCCAAACGTTTCACAAAACTGGATCTCTCCCTTCCACCCTCTTATATCAGGCACTTAATTGAACAAACAACCTCAAACAATTGTCAATACAAAATGGTTTGATGGAAAATCTTAAACTGGCTTTATAATTTTTTTATTTTTTAAAAAAGCTTGTGTTACTTGGGCTTATTCACTGACCTCTCATGTATGCAGCAGCTGTCTTAAATGGAACATTCTTTAGGATTCTTAAAAAGAGTTCTGAATCATTTCCTGAAAGAAACAAAAGAATAAATAATCATTCTGTTTTAATTTCCACCATAAGTTTACTACTAGTTTTTATTCACTGTCATCTTCTATGTCACACTGTCATAATCAACTGCCAGTTCTCCTCTCCAAGTAAAACGCCCAGTTTCCATAGTCTTCAACACAGTATTACTTCTCTAGGTTTCAGTTGTGGTATATGCACGCTCAGTTTTGTAGTGAAGTGGACAGATTCTTCCTCGGCTCAACTCCACTGAAATTAGGGGAGCTGCAAGTGTAGCCCATATTTGTAATGTTGCTAGACCCCATACAGTTTGAATTCTCATTTGGATTCCACAGCCGGTAGGCCAGGGTCAAAGTGAGGGAGGCACATGATTAAAATACTGGTTTCAGAGGTGGAAGACCTGGGTTTAAGTCCCTGCTAGGGGCAGATCCAGGGATGAGGTGGTAGAGCAGTCACATCCCTCCTTCAACTACTGCTGTTCCAAGGCAACCAGGGTGCAGGGGGAAGCTCAGATCCACTCCTGCCTTGCTCCAGTTACAGGCTGCAGGGAGCTGCTGTGCAAAGAACAGAGGTGGATGCACAGCTTCTACCTTCTAGGGCCTGCTCTAAGCCAGCAGGGGACACCTGGGGAGGGGAGAGTTGCCAACTCTGACCGAAGCTATTCTGGGAGATTTTTTCCCCCCTACATGACATAATGTAATTAATTGTACTGTTCAGCCCATTCACAATATCACTCTCCCAGATTGCTTTCAATAGTCACCAGGAAATGGATGCTGATTCCATAGACTCCCAGCCAATCAGGGAGGGCTGGCAACCCTAGGGGAGGGGGAAAAGGGGGCAGACAGAGAGCAGGCACGGGAAGGAGGAAGCTGTGTGCCACCACCACTGCCCCTAGCTGGGCATGGTGCTCCCGTCACAGCTGCTCCCCTCAGATGTAGCAAGGCAGGAGGGGCTCTGGGGACAGTAGGAGTGGTAAGTAGGTCCCCCCCATTATATGTCTGCGCCGTGACCAGCTCCCCAGTTTTCCCTGCCAGCTGAGGGTCTCCAGCCATGCCTCCCCTCCACGGTAGAAGGGTAGTGTGTCACACTCCCTCTCAGGAAATCCTAAATCTGCCCATGGTCCCTGCTCCAATGATTATTTCATTATTTATACAAAGTCATTAATGAAGTACTGCTCTTTCATGTAGACAAGAGTATACTTCTGTAAATGGGACTTAAGCATCTCAAACTTGGATTCTTAGGAAGACCTTAATTTATATTTTATAATTAGGGGGGGAAAAAACATAGGCTCAAAGATCCACGTGTGCCTTTTGTTGACCACTTAGACCTGAAGGCTGCTGGTGGTTATACCAGACAATACAATTTTAATTTTATAGAAGTGTTTTCAAACATAGTGATAGTGAAAGAGGAATTGGTATTCACAGTGCAAGCACCTTAAACCAATCCAGAAACTGAAGCTGTGGCAGAATGTGTCATGGGAAAAGTCAGTGAAATCCAACAAAATGTGCTTGACAATTTTTACTTATAAGACCTTTGGGTTCCCTCTCTTCTACTTCCATAAACCACTCATTTGCCATCAATAAACCAAAATTTACTTTCTCCTTATTATCCTATCAGAAATCACAGCTCTCTCATCATGATGGACCAGTACATAGAAGGTGGAAGACTTTAAAGGACTGACTGTAAAGAGGGCAGTAAACTTTTCAGGGTCCGTTACCCATTATAAATGGTGCAGTGGGTTCCTCAACTCTATTAGGTGATTCTTCCCTTCCTATTTCCTTTTTCCACCATCTCCATCAGGCACAGTGTGTTTGGTTCTTTCATGATGAGGCAATGAGAAACGGATGCTTTACAAGCATGATGCAGTGCTACAAAAGTTACGCAACAGAGTTTTTTTCATGAATGCTACTGGAGATGAACCAGATACTGCGGCCTAGAGTACAGTATTTCTTTGGCCCGTTCCTGAAAAGCAGGAGAACAGATCCCCCTACTGGTTGAAGGGAGGTACTTGATGGCTGAGTTCAATCACTATTGAAATGATTGAATTTCACACTCTAGCAGTTTGAAATCTGCTGTTTGTAGGCTTAAACTCCCTTAACAAAAGACACTTTCATGTATTATCCTCTTATTGACATCTCTGCTAATTTTCATTCCTTTAAGCATGTAAGGCGGAAAGATTTTGCATCTCTCCTTTTTGTGTACCTGCTGTGAAGGCTTTTGTTAACACTTGGGTGTAATCAACCAGGACAAATATTCTAGGAAATATATCTCAGCGTATCATTAGTCAATATATCCAGATGGATGATTGCTGATTTCATGTTGCGTTGTCTGCTTTTTGTCTGGACCAGTGGTTTTCAAACTGGTGTCTGCATACCCCCTGGGGATACATGGCTCTTTGCTAGGGGTGCATGCCTACATTTTATTAATGCTAGTAGAGCTTCTGATTGATCAACATGCAACGAGTATTGTGTTGACTTTGGTGTCAATATCATTCCTAAGAACTGAATAAGCAGGGGCATGTTGGGTGTAGGGGATACGAACAACAATATTTTGCAGGTAAAGGAGTATGCGGCTACATTTTTTTTAAATCACTGGTCTAGATCACATAGAATTACATACGGCATAAAGAAAACACCTCTTGGTTCTAAGACAAATATGGAAGGAGTGTGTCTATTGGGATGAGAGTCAAGGTTTCTTTATCCTATGTTTTAATCCGACCTTATGGAGCCAAATTCTCCTGTTTTAAGGGAACTGTGCCATTTTGCACCAACAGAGAATTTGGTCCAAGATTTGCAACCTCACACAAGTCACTTAAATTGTCCAATGCCTTAACTTATCCTGGGTAAAGCAGGCATCATTTTTTTGAGGATCATTATAATATTGCCAAGCGCTGTGTTCATTTACAACAGTATTAAAGCTAGAGTAGCTCCACTGCAGTTGATGTAGTTACTTCCAGTCAGCCTTGCTTTTAAAAGATCATAGAATTATAGAAGATTATCAGGGCCTGGGTCAAGTGGGGAGCAGTTGAGTAGGTATCTGTAACCCTAGTGACTGACCAGGTGTATACATGCATATCCTTCAAGGGTCAGGCAGGTTATGAATGTATGAATGAATGTAATGAAATAACACTAAAAACACGGAGGCTAAAAATTGTCAAGCAGTAAAAGGGAGTTTGGGGCCTTTTGCACAAAAACAGTTAGTGGGATTTGGGAACCTAACCTCCAGCCAGAGGAATAAATCTCACATATCAGATGTTCCTCTCACTGTTTAATACAATTGTGACAAGTGTTGGGATCTACGTTCTCTACAAAAATACATGCAGTATAGAAAAAACTCCTTCTGAAACATATTTTATACTAACAATCCTAATAGGATTAGATCTTTAAAAATGTTGCCTAGCCTGCAGAAGGGAGAACAGAATTTGTTTTTTTTAGGAAGTCAGTGGGATTTACTCTACAGAACAAAAGAGAAAAAAGCCACAAAAAACAAACCAGATGAAACAAAGAAGCAACACCCCCCCCACCCTCCAGCTCCCAAACACACAACCAAAAAAATAAAACAAAACCCAGCCCCCCCACCACACACACACACTCTGCTGCACAGCTTGACATTTAAATCTCCATCCCTGCAAGTTCTGCTGAGCTGGCAAAAAAAAGCTGTCTTGACATAAATAACCTAATCTTTCAAGGAGCTGTGTATTTCATGAGTTATGTTCATCTCTCACAATCAGCTCTGAGCTGAAGTGACTGTACCTTTTGTTTGCATGCCTGAACTTGCCTTCATTGACGTCAGCAAGTTTTAAAAAAAATATTTATTTGGTGACATCAGCTGTAGTTCTGAGAAAACTAGGTATGGAAAAAACAAAGCCTAGTTGTAAATAAGCATTTCCTGAGCTTATGTGGCTGGGCTGGGGCTGCTTACAATCACTTTCCACTTTTGCTTCTTTTGTTAATTGTTCTGGTCCACACAGTAAATCAGCTGTAAGGAAAGTCAGGGGACAGCCGTGATTGTAAAACCAATACAAAGATGTTCAACATTAGGCAGAGATCCATGTGCACTTTCAAGCCTCTGGCCAAATCCTCTTCCTGCATTGCTTTTAAACCAAAGTAAATTATACTAAGCCGGAGGCCACAGTCTGGGGCTAAACGTTGAAAACCTTTGCAAGCTGCATTCATGCCCTGTTTGACTGACGGAACTACAGCACACTGTGACAGGAGGAAGGAAGCCCTAAATGGAAGCCATATCTAGTATTTCCAAAGAAGCTATTTATGTCAGGAGAGTCTCAATATTTGTACTGTCATTACTACAATTGCTGTGATCAGGTTAGATGCTAGCATTCAAGGGAATCACTCCTCAGGGATGTGATATCTACCTGCCAGGTGCAGCTCTTTCCAGACTACCTAAGGCTCCCTATCTGACACACCCAACAGATCTGCTGTGTCCAAACCTTCCTATCGTATCCTGGTCCCCAACATATGAGGAAACCAGAAGTAAGCAACAAGGTCACAATGCAAAATTGCACATAAGGACTTGGTGGCTTGCATGGGGCATTTGACCAGTGTTTCCAGCCTCTGGAGGCTGGCGCACTGGTCACCTGCTCAGGGGTACATGCCGGGGGAGCACAGGACAGCAGTCTGAGGAGGGAGAACCCCTTTGGCCAAGGGGCCGGGTCCCAGCTGCTGTCCCATCTCTGTGCCCAGCACTTCCAGGAGCCAAGAGGCAAGTGGGCTGTGGGCTCCCCACCAGGC